TATATATATATATATATATATATATATATAATTATATATAATATAAATATATACATATATTTTAAATATAATATATATATATATATATATATATATATATAAATATATAATATAATATATATATATATATATATATATATTTAATTATCACACTGGCCGATTCCCACCAAGGCAGGGTGGCCCGAAAAAGAAAAACTTTCACCATCATTCACTCCATCACTGTCTTGCCAGAAGGGTGCTTTACACTACAGTTTTTAAACTGCAACATTAACACCCCTCCTTCAGAGTGCAGGAACTGTACTTCCCATCTCCAGGACTCAAGTCCGCCTGCCGCTTCCCTGAACCCCTTCATAAATGTTACTTTGCATTACACTCCAACAGCACGTCAAGTATTAAAAACCATTTGTCTCCATTCACTCCTATCAAACACGCTCATTCATACCTGCTGGAAGTCCAAGCCCCTCGCACACAAAACCTCCTTTACCCCCTCTCTCCAACCTTTCCTAGGCCGACCCCTACCCCGCCTTCCTTCCACTACAGACTGATTACACTCTTGAAGTCATTCTGTTTCGCTCCATTCTCTCTACATGTCCGAACCACCTCAACAACCCTTCCTCAGCCCTCTGGACAACAGTTTTGGTAATCCCGCACCTCCTCCTAACTTCCAAACTACGAATTCTCTGCATTATATTCACACCACACATTGCCCTCAGACATGACATCTCCACTGCCTCCACCTTCTCCTCGCTGCAACATTCATCACCCATGCTTCACAACCCATATAAGAGCGTTGGTAAAACTATACTCTCATACATTCCCCTCTTTGCCTCCAAGGACAAAGTTCTTTGTCTCCACAGACTCCTAAGTGCACCACTCACTCTTTTTCCCTCATCAATTCTATGATTCACCTCATCTTTCATAGACCCATCCGCTGACACGTCCACTCCCAAATATCTGAATACATTCACCTCCTCCATACTCTCTCCCTCCAATCTAATATTCAATCTTTCATCACCTAATCTTTTTGTTATCCTCATAGCCTTACTCTTTCCTGTATTCACCTTTAATTTTCTTCTTTTGAACACCCTACCAAATTCATCCACCAATCTCTGCAACTTCTCTTCAGAATCTCCCAAGAGCCAGTGGTCATCAGCAAAGAGCAGCTGTGACAACTCCCACTTTGTGTGTGATTCTTTATCTTTTAACTCCACGCCTCTTGCCAAGACCCTCGCATTTACTTCTCTTACAACCCCATCTATAAATATATTAAACAACCACGGTGACATCACACATCCTTGTCTAAGGCCTACTTTTACTGGGAAATAATTTCCCTCTTTCCTACATACTCTAACTTGAGCCTCACTATCCTCGTAAAAACTCTTCACTGCTTTCAGTAACCTACCTCCTACACCATACACTTGCAACATCTGCCACATTGCCCCCTATCCACCTGTCATACGCCTTTTCCAAATCCATAAATGCCACAAAGATCTCTTTAGCCTTATCTAAATACTGTTCACTTATATGTTTCACTGTAAACACCTGGTCCACACACCCCCTACCTTTCCTAAAGCCTCCTTGTTCATCTGCTATCCTATTCTCCGTCTTACTCTTAATTCTTTCAATAATAACTCTACCATACACTTTACCAGGTATACTCAGCAGACTTATCCCCCTATAATTTTTGCACTCTCTTTTATCCCCTTTGCCTTTATACAAAAGAACTATGCATGCTCTCTGCCAATCCCTAGGTACCTTACCCTCTTCCATACAGTTATTAAATAATTGCACCAACCACTCCAAAACTATATCCCCACCTGCTTTTAACATTTCTATCTTTATCCCATCAATCCCGGCTGCCTTACCCCCTTTCATTTTACCTACTGCCTCACGAACTTCCCCCACACTCACAACTGGCTCTTCCTCACTCCTACAAGATGTTATTCCTCCTTGCCCTATACACGAAATCACAGCTTCCCTATCTTCATCAACATTTAACAATTCCTCAAAATATTCCTCCATCTTCCCAATACCTCTAACTCTCCATTTAATAACTCTCCTCTCCTATTTTTACTGACAAATCCTTTTGTTCTCTAGGCTTTCTTAACTTGTTAATCTCACTCCAAAACTTTTTCTTATTTTCAACAAAATTTGTTGATAACATCTCACCCACTCTCTCATTTGCTCTTTTTTACATTGCTTCACCACTCTCTTAACCTCTCTCTTTTTCTCCATATACTCTTCCCCCCTTTGCATCACTTCTACTTTGTAAAAACTTCTCATATGCTAACTTTTTTCCCTTACTACTCTCTTTACATCAATCATTCCACCAATCGCTCCTCTTCCCCCGCACCCACTTTCCTGTAACCACAAACTTCTGCTGAACACTCTAACACTACATTTTTAAAACCTACCCCAATACCTCTTCGACCCCATGCCTGTGCTCTCATTAGCCCATCTATCCCCCAATAGCTGTTTATATCTTACCCTAACTGCCCCCTCTTTTAGTTTATAAACCTTCACCTCTCTCTTCCCTGATGTTCTATTCTCCCTTGTATCCCATCTCCCTTTTTTACTCTCAGTGTAGCTACAACTAGAAAGTGATCTGATATATCTGTGGCCCCTCTATAAACATGTACATCCTGAAGTCTACTCAACAGTCTTTTATCTACCAATACATAATCCAACAAACTACTGTCATTTCGCCCTACATCATATCTTGTATACTTATTTATCCTTTTTTTCCCTTAAAATAATGTATTACCTATAACTAAACCCCTTTCTATACAAAGTTCAATCAAAGGGCTCCCATTATCATTTACACTGGCCCCCCAAAACTTACCTACCACACCCTCTCTAAAAGTTTCTCCTACTTTAGCATTCAGGTCCCCTACCACAATTACTCTCTCACTTGGTTCAAAGGCTCCTATACATTCACTTAACATCTCCCAAAATCTCTCTCTCCCCTCTTGCATTCCTCTCTTCTCCAGGTGCATACACGCTTATTATGACCCACTTCTCGCATCCAACCTTTACTTTAATCCACATAAAATTTTTGAATTTAACATTCATATTCTCTTTTCTCCTTCCATAACTGATCATTTAACAATAAATGCTACCCCTTCCTTTGCTCTAACTCTCTCAGATACTCCAGATTTAATCCCCTTTATTTCCCCCCACTGAAAACTTTCCCCACCCCCTTCCCGCTTTGTTTCATTAGGGCCAGGACATCCAACTTCTTTTCATTCATAACATCAGCAATCATCTGTTTCTTGTCATCCGCACTACATCCACGCACATTTAAGCATCCCAGTTTTTATAAAGTTTTTCTTCTTCTCTTTTTTAGTAAATGTCTACAGGAGAAGGGGTTACTAGCCCATTGCTCCCGGCATTTTAGTCGCCTCATACGACACGCATGGCTTACGGAGGAAAGATTCTTTTCCACTTCCCCATGGACAATAGAAGAAATAAAGAAGAACAAGAACTATTTAGAAAAAGGAGAAAAACCTAGATGTATGTATATATATATGCATGTACGTGTCTGTGAAGTGTGACCAAAGTGTAAGTAGGAGTAGCAAGATATCCCTGTTATCTAGCGTGTTTATGAGACAGAAAAAGAAAACCAGCAATCCTACCATCATGCAAAACAATTACAGGTTTCTGTTTCACAGTCATCTGGCAGGACGGTAGTACTTCCCTGGGTGGTTGCTGTCTACCAACCTACTACCTAGATATATATATATAATATATATATTATATATATATATATAATATAATATATATATATATATATATATATATATATATATATATATATATATATACACACAAATAGGGAAACAGGATGAAGTTGAAGCCATTTGTAGGCTTAAGATTTCATAAAGTCAGTTGATCAAATGAAATCACTGGCCCACAGACGGCTCCAACTTCATCCTGTTTCCTAATTGTATATTTCGCAACAATGAAAATGCTTTCAAATGATCTGATGTAAGTAACAGTTCTTAGCTTGTAAATAAAGTTAGTAACCTTAAACCTAACCTTGTAAAACTCCTTTCTTTCTCATTTACATAAATAGTTGCTATTTCTCACTTTTCACGTCTCTTTCTTGTTTTAATTCATAATTTTTTTTTAATTTATACACTTATATTCCTCCAGTTCTTTCTATAATTAAATTGTTAGCAATTCCTTCCCCAGTTATGATGGTCTCAGATACACCTGACAAAATCCAAGTTACACCTCCCACTGAAAATCTCTTACCCACTTAGTTTCACTTAGAGCTATGACATCCAGCTTCTTTTCATTCATAAAATAACCCACCTTTACAATGTCCTAGTTTGTATTTTTAGTTATATATTGACGTGGAGGGGTTGCTAGGACGTTGTTTACAGAGGAAGACATCTCACCCTCAGATAAGTTTGTATTCATAAACACGGACGAGCACAGCTGGATGTGTAGTATCAAGTTGGTGCACAAGTAGCAACACTTTTGTCAGGTTAAAGAATATGACACCTCTGCAACATCTTGGGAATCTTTATCGTGGTAATATTTCGCCAACAAGTGACTTCATCAGTCCACTACATCATATTTCTGTCATCTAACGTGTTTATGAGATGTTTATGGCAATTGTGATGTTTAATGTGATGTTTGTGAGATGTTATGACAATTATGTTGTAGAGGTGTGAGTTTGTTCACACCTCTACAACACAATTGTCCTCAAAAATTTGTTAAGTTATACCAAGAATTAAGGAAAGATGCTGGACTTCACCTTACGAAACAGACAAAGTAAATGTGATAGTAATTATGAACAAGGTAGATTATAGTGGAGAAATGAACTTCTTATTAAAAGACGGAGGAACTTACGTGCTTCTTAAACTTTACCCGAATTTTCAACGCCTATAAATGTTACTGCACATCCACAAGCTGTATTTACATGTTTCGGGATTCTTTTGTTGATAACGTGTTATGAGTGTGATGAGCGCTGGTAGTGTCTCTGTCTCCAGGGAACCTGACGCAGCAACTGGAGGAGAATCTCCAACAGCTAGTCGAGGTGACGGGTTATATTCGCGTCTACGGCTCCAATACTCTCTTCTCCCTCAACTTCCTCAGTAATCTTCAAGTCATTGGGGGCCAGGAGCTGGTGCATAACAAGTAAGTACTCAATAGTTGTACTTCTGTTCTTAGGTGGCTGTCATGCTCGGATTTTCATCGGGGAAATCCTCAGTGATACTTTTGGTCGTATGACTGAGGCCTTCTCCTGGCTGATGCTGCTCTCATTCATATGATGTTAAAAGAGAGCTCTACCAGACTCACACTAATTAATCACCTCGTCAGTCAATCCCACGTTACATAACATCTACAGTGACGAGTTAAGTCGGGATCAATTGTAAAGCTGGAACGAGTTATTCCTGGTCTCGAAGTCTACCAGGTATCCATCCCACCCGAGATTGTTTAGCGAGCCACCGTTACCCCCACCAGTAACACACAACTTAGCGAGTCACCGTTACCCCCACCAGTAACACACAACTTAGCGAGTCACCGTTACCCCCACCAGTAACACACAACTTAGCGAGTCACCGTTACCCCCACCAGTAACACACAATTTAGCGAGTCACCGTTACCCCCACCAGTAACACACAACTTAGCGAGTCACCGTTACCCCCACCAGTAACACACAACTTAGCGAGTCACCGTTACCCCCACCAGCAACACACAACTTAGCGAGTCACCGTTACCCCCACCAGTAACACACAACTTAGCGAGTCACCGTTACCCCACCAGTAACACACAACTTAGCGAGTCACCGTTACCCCCAACCAGCAACACACAACTTAGCGAGTCACCGTTACCCCCACCAGTAACACACAACTTAGCGAGTCACCGTTACCCCCACCAGTAACACACAACTTAGCGAGTCACCGTTACCCCCACCAGTAACACACAACTTAGCGAGTCACCGTTTACCCCCACCAGTAACACACAACTTAGCGAGTCACCGTTACCCCCACCAGTAACACACAACTTAGCGAGTCACCGTTACCCCCACCAGTAACACACAACTTAGTGAGTCACCGTTACCCCACCAGTAACACACAACTTAGCGAGTCACCGTTACCCCACGATAACACACAACTTAGCGAGTCACCGTTACCCCCACCAGTAACACAACTTAGCGAGTCACCGTTACCCCCACCAGTAACACACAACTTAGCGAGTCACCGTTACCCCCACCAGTAACACACAACTTAGCGAGTCACCGTTACCCCCACCAGTAACCCCAAATTGCGAGTCACCGTTACCCCCACCAGTAACACACAACTTAGCGAGTCACCGTTACCCCCACCAGTAACACACAACTTAGGGTCAAGAAATAATGCCGAGATTATTGGGGATTTCTCTTTCTCACACGACTTACACGACTGATCCGTTCAGCTAACTTCCAGTGACTGGTGCTTCCAGACCCTCTAACATTGGCTCTTAGTACTTCAGTGAATGATGCTTCCAGACCCTCAAACACTGGCCCTTAGTACTCCAGTGATTGGTGCTTCCAGACCCTCAAACACTGGCCCTTAGTACTCTAGTGACATGCTTCCAGACCCTCACACACCGGCACTTAATACTCCAGTGACTGATGCTTCCAGACCCTCAAACATAGGCCCATAGTAACATGCTTCCAGACGCTCAAGCACTGGCTCTTAGTACTCCAGGGACTGATGCTACCAAACCCTCAAACATTGACCTTTAGTGTTCCAGTGACTGATGCTTCCAGACTCTCACACATGGGCCTTTGGTACTTATGTTTTTAAAGTGTAGGCTTATAGAGATACCACCAGGTTGGTACCCGTGTTACTTACACTTACATTCCAAGTTAAACTTCATTGTCTAAACTACAATCTTAGACTAGGTTCTAGCTTACTAATAGCTTACAAATAATTACCCTTACAATCAAGGTTTAGTCGGAGGTGTGGCAGTGCCACAGTACCTCACAATCTTTCTAACAGTGTGGTGCCTCGCATGCCTCTCATCCCCTTCTCCTTCCTCCCACAAATGTGTCCTTACATCTACATGGAAAAGTTACGTTTTCGCACATATGATGACTAACCTCAGTGGAACTTTTGGTCGAATGACCGTGCCCTAGCTGACGCTGGTCCCAGTCATAAGATGTTCCACTCAGTGGGACTCATGGTCTGGTGAACCTCACCAGTCCACGAGGCCATTCCCTGCCTCACCGGTCCACGAGGCCATTCTCTGCCTCACCGGTCTTCTAGGCCATCCCCTGCCTCACCGGTCCACGAGGCAATTCCCTGCCTCACCGGTCCACGAGGCCATTCTCTGCCTCACCGGTCTACAAGGCCAATCTCTGCCTCACCGGTCCACGAGGCCATTCTCTGCCTCACCGGTCTACAAGGCCAATCCCTGCCTCACCGGTCCACGAGGCAATTCCCTGCCTCACCGGTCTACAAGGCCAATCTCTGCCTCACCGGTCCACGAGGCAATTCCCTGCCTCACCGGTCTACAAGGCCAATCTCTGCCTCACCGGTCTACAAGGCCAATCCCTGCCTCATCGATCCACAAGGCTATTCCCCGCCTCACCGATGCCCATCCACAGGTACGCTCTCTACATGCTAATGGTCATCCACAGGTACGCTCTCTACGTGTTAATGATCATCCACAGGTACGCTCTCTACATGCTAATGGTCATCCACAGGTACGCTCTCTAGGTGTTAATGATCATCCACAGGTACGCTCTCTACATGCTAATGGTCATCCACAGGTACGCTCTCTACATGCTAATGGTCATCCACAGGTACGCTCTCTACATGCTAATGGTCATCCACAGGTACGCTCTCTAAATGCCAGTGGTCATCCACAGGTACGCTCTCTACGTGTTAATGATCATCCACAGGTACGCTCTCTAAATGCCAGTGGTCATCCACAGGTACGCTCTCTACGTGTTAATGATCATCCACAGGTACGCTCTCTAAATGCCAGTGGTCATCCACAGGTACGCTCTCTGCGTGTTAATGATCATCCACAGGTACGCTCTCTACATGCTAATGGTCATCCACAGGTACGCTCTCTACATGCTGGAGAATGAGAAGCTTCAGGAGCTATGGGACTGGGATCAAAGGAACCAGTCACTGAGGATCTCCCGAGGGACACTCTTCTCCCACTACAACCCCAGTTTGTGTCCCCGGTTACTCTACCAGTTAGCCAACATTACTGGTATTGGTCGTCTGGATGACGCTGATGTCACCACCAGCTCTAGTGAAGACACTCCTCCTTGTATGTATCACCCTCGTATATAACTCACACAGTCACTTTACCGTAGCTCTGATAACTGATAACTCACACAGTCACAGTACCGTAGCTCTGATAACTCACACAGTCACTTTACCGTAGCTCTGATAACTCACACAGTCACTTTACCGTAGCTCTGATAACTCACACAGTCACTTTACCGTAGCTCTGATAACTGATAACTCACACAGTCACTTTACCGTAGCTCTGATAACTGATAACTCAGTCACTATACCGTAGCTCAGATAACTGATATCTCACATAGTCACTGTATCGTAGCTCTGATAACTGATAACCCACACAGTCACAATACGATAGCTCCGATAACTGATAACTCACAGTCACAATACGATAACTCTGATAACTGTTAACTCACACAGTCACAATATCGTACTACTACCACTACTATTACTACTACTGCTACTACTACTACTATTACTACTGCTACTACTACTACTACTACTACTATTACTACTACTAAATAACGAAAAAAGGCACAATACCGTGACTGGAACGATACACAAATAACCCGCACATAAAAGAGAGAAGCTTACGACGACGTTTCGGTCCGACTTGGACCATTTACAAAGTCACACTGTGACTTTGTAAATGGTCCAAGTCGGACTGAAACGTCGTCGTAAGCTTCTCTCTTTTATGTGCGGGTTATTTGTGTACTACTACTACTATTACTATTACTTCTACTACTACTACTATTACTACTACTGCTACTACTACTACTACTACTACTATTACTACTACTACTATTACTATTACTGCTACTACTACTACTACTATTACTACTACTGCTATTACTACTACTACTGTTACTACTGCTACTATTACTATTACTGCTACTACTACTACTATTACTATTACTTCTACTACTACTACTATTACTACTACTGCTGCTACTACTACTACTACTATTACTACTACTACTATTACTATTACTGCTACTACTACTACTACTATTACTACTACTGCTATTACTACTACTACTACTATTACTACTACTACTATTACTATTACTGCTACTACTACTACTATTACTACTAGTACTACCACTAGTAATAAAAATAATATATAAATAAATATAGTAACTGAGACAGGTTGTTGTGAGTTATCTTGACGGTATATAAACAGGCTACGGAGAAGAGCTGCCAGTGATCGCCTGGGCAGATAAGAATGTTGGAACCATCAACGTATCCTGGAAACACGTCTATGATGGCCGCGACGATAGGTTCGTCATCGGCTATTACGTCTACTACAGGGAGACCAGCACGACAGTAACGATCTTCCAGGGACGCGACGCATGCAACGATAAATTGTGAGCACTGACTGTTGAACACTTTCAGTAAATCCTTCTGTTAGTATGACAAAGGGAACAAGGTAACAGTTGAAGACTTAGCTTAGTTTTGCAGTCCAGATTCCAGCAGCCTCTGCCTGGATCTGCCCTCAACGTAACTACAGTTGATTCCACAGGTGGATGAAAAGATGGAGTAACTTAGTTAACTTTGCCCCAAAGGAAAGTTTATGTCAAGTATTTCACATATGCCGTGAAATGTGACAGGTTACTCACATCTGTTGGGCGAATCGCAAGAAAGTGATTATCATACATAGCAGCATATGTGTAGAGAATCAAGGATAACCCAAAAGAGTCAAAGTGACTTATTTCCATTGGGGTTCCATATCTACCCATTAGTTGCAATTAACACTAGCTAATATGAGTTTGAACTTACCTGGGTATAAATGACAAAGGCACAATACTGTGACGGGAACAATACACAGATAAAATGCACATAGGAGAAACGAGCTTATGACGATGTTTTGGTCCGATTTGGACCATTTACAGAGTCACTCTGTGACTTTGGGAATGCGGGTTGTTTGTGAATTTACCTGGGTATGTAACTGACCCAATGTGACCCCGAGAATGATGGCTTGAGCAGGCTGCTTCCCCAGATAAGTCGCAATAATATCCTATCACTCGCAACATGTCGGTACAGTCACATTTCACTACCACCATTTGTATTGTCCACAGCTGGGAGATGTTTTTCTCCAATGTTCGATTACGTCTGAGTGCACACTGTGGAACACGTTAGACACACGTTATCCTGACTTTACGGCGGATTATGTCACTCGTATTTTGCACTAGATTAACTTTCCTAGTGTTCTAGAGATTGTCTGATAAAGAGTCTCTGAACGAACTGCCACTTTCTTCGTTATGCAGCGGGTAGTGTCCACGTCGTGGTGTCTCATGACACAAGCTCGCCCTCTCTCCTTGAAGCAATCTGACCCCGGCCAGCTGTGCACAAGCCCCTCCAGGCACTAACTGCTGACCTAGGTTTATAGGTATTTATTGCCAGTACTTACAACATAATGGAATACAAGAGGGCTGTTTCTTATTGTCCTAACTGTGGGCTTCAAGTCATAATACCCCGACAGGTAATAGGTGTTTTCTTCTGGAATTTTCCTGCCACAGGGGAAGAGTTATTAAACCAGGCTTAAGCCTGTATGCTTAGAGATTCCAGTAAAGAGCAGAAAATGGCCTGACATCAGCATGAGAGGCCCAGCTCTGACATGTTTCCTAGCTGTCATAAGAACAAGAAAATGGAAAAAGCTCACTACCCCTTTCCAGGGGGTGGGCCCCTTTCGGGGCCCTGAGAGTTAACCCCCCACACGTTAATTCCCCCTCACTGAAGAACATTAAATTTAAAAAAAGTTTTCATCTTTAAAAGGGGTTTTATATATATATATATATATATATATTTATATATATAAAATATATATATAATATATATATATATATTTTATATATATTTTTTTAAAATTATATATATATTATATATTTATATATATAATATATAATATATATTATATATATATATTTTTAATTATAATATGTCTGCCAAATAAGTAAAACTGGTCAATTAGGTCCTTTCTAAAAATTTTCTTATACATTTAAAGTTGTATTTTTCACTTATGATAATATAAAAATTAATGATTTTGTACCAAAAGAACCTTAGGAAACTTACCTAATTCAATTATAATAAGTGCAATTTAAATTAGCCTAATCCCACTAAATATATTTTAGATAGGTTTACAATAATTTAATAATAAACAAAGACAATGAAATATATTTTTCGTAAGGTTTAGAATGACTTTCGCGAAATTATTGCAAACGGGAATTTTTATTTGTCTTATTCGGCAAGAGGTGCGTTGGTATTTATGCCAAAATTGCCAATTTTTTACCACACACACACACACCATACACACACACACCCAAAACACCACCATACACACACACACCACCCTCCACACTACCACACACACACACACAAGACCTGAGGTGTCCCGTTTGCGATGACGTGAATTTAAGAAAAAATACATCGATCGAAGACCCGGGAGAACTCAAAAGGGGTTGGACAGGCTGCAGAAAGGGGGCCAGCAATTGGCTCCTGGAGTTCAATCCCACCAAATGCAAAGTCAGAAATTGGGGAAGGGCAAAGAAGGCCCCAACGGAGTACGTCTAGGGGGTCAGGAAATACAAACCCCAAAATCAAGGAAAAAGATTTGGGGGGATATAACACCGGCACATCTCCTGAAGCGACATCAACCAAAAAACTGCGCAGCATATGGGGGGCCTACAAACCTCAGAAAGCATTCCGACATCTTAATAAGGAATCTTTTAGGACCCTGTACACCCTATCGTTGGGCCCTAGGAGTATGCGCACCATTTGGAACCCCCCAGCCAAAACAGTAAAGAAACTAGGAAAATGCAAAGGGTTTTCAACAAGACTAGTCCCCCGGCTAAGAGGATGTCCTACGAGGGATTTTAAGGGAAATAACCTACGACAGGGGGACAGGGGAAAATAGGGGGGACATGATAACGACAACAAAATACTGAGAGGAATTGACAAGGTGGACAAAAACAGGATGTTCCAGAGATTGGACACAGTAACAAGGGGACACAGTTGGAAGCTAAAGAAACAGATGAATTCACGGGATGTTAGGAAGTATTTTTCAGCCACAGAGTAGTCAGTAAGTGGAATAGTTTGGGAAGCGATGTAGTGGAGGCAGGATCCATACATAGCTTTAAGCAGAGGTCGATAAAGCTCACGGCTCAGGGAGAGTGACCTAGTAGCGATCAGTGAAGAGGCGGGGTCCAGGAGCTCGGACTCGACCCCCGCAACCTCAACTAGGTGAGTACAACTAGGTGAGTACACACACTCAAACACACACACACACACACACACACACACACACACACACACATACACACACACACACACACACACACACACACACACACACACACACACACACACACACACATAAACATCTCGGTTTTTATACTGGCCAGGGCGAGGTACTTCCAACTGAGTTTCCTGTCCCTCAGGATAGAAAATCTGTACAGAGGTTCCTTGGAATGGCAGGTTATTATCGACGTTTCTGTCCAAACTTTTCTCATGTTGCATCTCTTCTTACAGAGCTAACACGTAGTAGGGTGAAATTTCATTGGTCGAACGATTGTGAGATAGCATTTAATCGGTTGAAGTGGTCGCTTTCTTCATCACCTGTGTTGAAGAGCCCTGACTTTAATCAGCACTTTTAATTACACGTTGATGGTAGCAGTTATGCTGTAGGCGCGGTGTTACTCCAGAAATCCCCCTCTATGTTTAATTTACATCCCATATTTTTAAATTTTTCTTAAAAAGTTAAAACGTCACCAAAAGGTTTTATCCACAGTGCAAAAAGGGAAATTTCTTGCCTTAATGTTTTTTGGAACTTTTAACTTTTATTGGGAATTTTCCCCCCCAAAAAATTTAAAGGTTTTTTTCTAAATCATAACCCTTTTAACATTTATTAATTCTATAAAATTAAAGAACCCCCGGACCCAGGGGGGGTTTGGGAGGATCCAACCTTATTTCATTAGTATTAAAACACAAAAGGGAACCCTTAACGAAATTTGGTCCCCTCTTCTCGCCCTTGAGAGTACTTTAATTACTTTAAAGTTAGGATAATAATTTTTCTCTTGGAGGCTAATTTAAAAATTTTTTTTAAGGATTTTTCTTTTTATTAGCAGAAAGGAAAAATTGTAAAAAAACCCTTTTCCAGTGATCCGGGTTAATTAAAAATTTCCCCACGGATGGCCAAAGGGCGACCGGAAAGGGGAGGCGGGGCCCCAGGAGCGGGGAATCCGCCCCCTTCCCCCTAAACTAGGTGAGAACAATGGTAAAGGAACTTTGGGTTTCGACTTACTGACAGTTTTTAAACGCCCGCCCTCTTTTATTACTTTCATCTTACGGTAACTCCTACTCTCAAAATTTGGGATGGACGCCAAAACCCTGTTCTTTCGACCTTTGCCCAGATTTTATCTTCCGGCATATTAACATGGGGGTTCCACTTCTTTTGGTCTCCATTCTTCGGGGTTCGTCCTAAATCCCTTAAATTAACAAAGGGGAGGAAATACCGAAAAAGGGTCCAACCCGGCCCCCCTAATGGCCCAAAAACGGGGGAAAAACCCCCCGGGGGGTAAAACCCCCCTTTTTGGGGGATGGGGAAAGGGCCCCAAAAAAAAGTTTAATTTTTTAAATTCGAAAACCAACCCCCCGGCCCCCGGAAAAAGGGGCCCCCCTTTTTTTAATAAGTTTAAATAAATTTAAATAAATAATTTTAAAGAAATAAAAAAACCCTCCCCAAAAACCTCAAAAACCCTACCAGAAATTGAAAGAAGAAAAATTACTAATTTTAAACCCAAAAAAACCCCCAAAAATGTTCAACAAAAGCCACCGTGGGCCCCAACGCCCCTCCCCAACGGGGCCCACCCCTTTTCCCTTTAGGCTGCCTTATTTCACACTGTCAGTTTTTTGGTGAAGCATCAGCCGAGGTAAACAAAAGGGGGTTGGGTATGGTACTGCCCTGTGCATTTTTAATATAGTTATTTTTACCCACTTTTTACTGTGAATTTGTAGAAATATTAATTTTATATTTTAATTTAATTGTGGTTTTTCTTTTTCTCAAGGTTTTTCTGGGTTAAAGAGGTATGCGAGGCTGTATACTTCACTTTTTTGGGGCCATTTTTATCAATAATAAAAAAACATTTTGTGAAAGGGGTTTTAACATGCTTTTATTTTGGATTTTAAAATTTGGGGGTAACAAGTTTAAAAGTTTGGGAACCATTGCCTTACTGGGGCCCAATTGTCGTAGGGAAAGGGGGGTTTGTCCCGGGAATAGTCCATCCTGTATTTAATTTTTTGCCCTGAGAATGTGTTAATCACTTAATTTATAGAGCAAAATTCTCCTTTATAGCAAAAAAATAGAGATTTT